TTACTATGGGACGAATTCTCGTACTGCAAAATATATATTCAAGCGTTTATTTTCAATCATTGTATAAATATGTGTGAGTTCTCATATCTCTGGATCGTGTCATCTCATATCTTGATTGTATCAGGAGTAGAGGATAAAGGTAGTTTATCTACTCCTGATTGTATCCAAATACGCGTTTTCAACAATTCAGATATGATTATGTGCTTCCTAATGTATTTTCGCGATAAAGTAAAATGAATTTTGAGATACATGAGGTCATTCGAGCCCTATTTATGCTAAAGTGAGATTATCAATGACTAATTAGACTCAATTGCAAACACGTAGCGACTTCATTACTGAATGAATTAATCGTAGGCGGAACAACTTGATCAATAGCATAAACTCGTTTAAGTGACAACAACATACAAATTGACACGCATATATAGCGAACGAACATATAAGTTAATTACAAAATAATACAATTTATTTTGACTCATATATTACAAGTAAAACACTTTTCTTTGCTGATAGCATAGTATAACTAACAGATCCGCCCCTGTCTGTACAGACGCCGTTAGTGCAATCAAGAAACAGTGTTTTATAAAACATGTCATCCGCCTCTCCCCGTCACGAGCTCATACATGCATTGTTATTTCTGACGTGATCGATGACGTAATGCATCGTTACCCCCATAGCAACGACACGCTAGCCGTGGTAATCGTTGCAGCGTCCGAGCGTAGCATACACGTAATGCCACGAGATAGAATACCGCGCTATATACGCATACTATAGCCGGCAATTACGCCCCCCCCCCCCTAAACGCACATTTGATTTTTGTACATGATGAGAACTCGCGGATGTGTCCTCGTTCAGTCCGCTTCTGCACGCAACCGCTATAGAACGCATCCCATCTCAACATCCTGCTCGCGTTTATAGGTGCTAGAGAGAAAGCTAAAGGAACCGCTGTCCGCTGATTCACAGTCTCCATGCGTCAGTGGATTCTAGACTATTCAGTGTGACTCCGCTTTGATTGATGTCGTCAGCGTGTTGGAGAAACATGTTATATTAAACAGGTATCAGAAAGGATGGAAAAAATTCGTAGACGCATCCATGTGAAACGGACCTGCTAATGTTTGCACGTAGGAAATGTAGTCAGTATACAGACATGAGATCATCAACCCTCATGCGTTCATAACGTTACGTGCAGAAATTCAATTGTCAACTCTTTCCTTAAGGCAATGCCAGCCGCCCATCGCTCACTATTGCAACGTATTGCGCAATAATCGTCGACCATATGTACAATATAATGGCTGATATAATAATGAATGAAAAGGTAGAATCAACAATGTTGTTAAATGAAACGAGCACGCGTTGCCGAATTAAATATCGTTAACTATTTCTCTAACTGCAGTCCCCGCGTCTCGTGTGTGTATACTATGTCTCTCGTACCCGTCTCTTATCGTACTACGTTCGTTTCACTGCGAGCATTGTTGCCTAACGTTCTAAAAGCTGGTGACCGTCAGATCTTGTTCTTATATGTAGATATACATATATATATACATACATATAAATATAGCATCATGTGGACACAGCCTTGACTGTGTGGACACATGCTGAAGTCGACTTGTTCACGCAGCTTTAGAGGTCTGACGGTTGAGCACCACTTCAGTACTATAGACAATACATTAAATAAAACGCTACAAGCTAAATTAGCAAACTATAGCATTTCTGCTGGCAGAAACTGCTGGTGTGAAAAAAACTATTACCTGATTGCAAAACACATAGAAAAGGAAGCAACTTTTCTAGCTGTTTTGAATTGCAGCATAGCGAAATAAAAATAAAACATATTTCAAATAAATTCATAAAAATATAGCATGTATCAAGCATACTGAGGTATCACATAATCATATGTAAGACCTCGAGTAACAGAACACCTTAGCAACACAAGCCTTTTGGCATATATTCCTTTTGCGTGAACATATAATTAATATATGCTTACCAAAAGAACTAATAATGCTGTAACACAGACTCACTAGGTATATCTCTATTGAAAGTGAACTGCATTCAAGGTGTAGCCACCAATCAACGATATTTACATCACATGCGTAATTAAATCATGCATTTTCCAGCGTCTAGCATGAGATCTGGCCGGTATGTTTTCCACAGAACTCCATCGATAAAAAAGATTTGCCTTCGTCCAGTTACATGAAAACTTACTTAGCTACAGTGACATCAGGAGTCTATCAATAGACTCCTATCAATAGACCCCTATAAATAGACTCCTATCAATTGACTCCTATCAATAGACTTTATTGATAGACTCCTGGTGACATGTGAAGTTTGCAATGTGGAAGAAGGCAGGGCGATGCGGAATCGACATTCTAGATACAATATTACTGATGGGGTGCGTAGCGGAGCGTGACTGCATATCAAAAATAGTCGTCATCGCTGTGCTAAGTCCTAATAAATCATTCTTATAGATATGCATTGTCTGATACTGAATACTTAAGATCTAAGCAAGCTTTTACTGCACACGCACGCTTGTAAGTTTTTAGCAGAATTCTCGTTTTTTCTTAAGCACGCGATTGTTCTTCGAATAATTTTACTAAAAGCATCGGTTACATGGTCACTGATCGGCCGAACGCACCCCATCGAATATACATTGTCCAAGAGTAAGTTTTCTCCGACATTCACCCAAAGGTCGTCACTCGATCCCATCGCGTGGCAAATGCATCAACGCATCGCGGTCGTAGCAGCGAGCGCCATCTCGCGGTGGCGCGTTCAGTATTCCATCACAGAGTCTCTGACAGAGCTAGGCGTGTAGTGCGGCGTCGGTATTGTCAGTCGTGGCTCACTCGCCTTCTGCAGCCGCTCGCGTCGTGCGAACAACCGGAAGCGCAGTGCGAGGATGAGCAAGATGACTGACAGCAGAGCTAGCAGTGCCGAGAGACCCAGCCCCAGAGCGAGGTCGTCCCTGTTGAAGCAGTAACGTCGACCTGTTTCCTCGGCAACCACAGCTTGCGCTGCAGACGAAAAAGAAAAACATCGGTACTGGTCACGTAAAGATGTTAGCACAGTATAGTAACTAGGGTAGTACTGCCATGTAGACTACGCTACGGGGTGCTAAGTCCGAGGTATCTGAGTTACGCAAGTGCCAGTTATACGTAAAGAATCAGGTGACAATTGATTGTGATTGATTGTAGCCACACTGAATACGTAAAAAGCATCAAAAACCCGGGCCCCGTAGAGAATGGGGTAATATTATTAGGTCACACGCACTATTAATTGTATTCAACGCGAAAATATTTAACTCTTCTATTTAAATCTGTTTATATATATATATATAATTACTAGTTTTGAAAACGCGCCCTATCCTCAATTCTTTTCCCCAACCAACAGCTGGATATGAAACTAAGCATACCATACACCATATGATTAGGTCCGCTCTAATACTCTGACGCTAAATGCAAAATACCACGTAATATAATCATGCCTCGCAATATTACATGGTCCAGATTATACTGAATGAGAGAATGCTACCCAACACACGTATATTACGCAAATAAATATAAGTATACAGCAACTCTACACAGCAATCTATCTGCAGTGTTAATCTGTTCATATGACAAACTTGACTTCTCTCTCTCTCCCTCTCCGTTTTCGATATAGTCGCTTGGACGTTGAATACTTTAATTATTATGAAGTTATACGGTTATAAAACTTGGTTTTGTTGTTGTTATCATCTCCTTTTTTATTCTCTCGGGTCATAATGAAATGGAAACCTATATCTATTGCAATCCCTATAGTGTTAGCGCGTCAATTCACTCAGCGAAAAATTACTCTTTTTTCGTTACAGAGTTACAGCCTTCAGTCTACTATAGTGTATATTCTTTATTTTTATATTCTTCAATTCTTCGTGTGCTTATGTCGCAGGAGAGACGCCACCGGCACGGCATCGGGCGTCCTTCGTCCGCAGCAAAAGGAAGCCTTACTCTAAACAGCAGATCGTCGACCTTGAGAAGGAATACAAAGTGAATCCATACATCACGCGACAGAGACGATTCGAGATGGCTCACAATTTGGGGCTCAGCGAACGGCAAGTGAAAATATGGTTCCAGAATCGACGCATGAAAACTAAGAAACACTTGCTAACGCTGAGAGTGTGAAAGCGGTGCACAGCTCCGTTAAATCGTACACCACCACGTGGCTATTTTATTAGGGGAACTTCAGTGATGAGTGTTCTTTAATAAGTGCCGATACTGGATGACAACGTAAAGCTACGAGCACGTCTCCCATGTTTATGTCCGCATAACATTTGCGTAGCACATAGCCATGCGACTCCATCACCCCACAACGAATGCGCGTGCGCACTAGAACCACATCCGTCGAACGGACAAATTCTGGAATAAATAGAGACATAGTGCACAGTACAACTACATACGGACATCTCTATGCATGTACTGTTGGATGTGCATGTAGTACTGTGTAAACTACAATACGTGTGACGATAAACGATATGAATAGTACTATGAGCGTACAAACCTTAACGCTATTCCGTCCTGTTCCGTTTAATAAACAACCAGCAACTGCGTCGATATTCATATTAGTGTTTCGAACTAAGGCAGTTGTTTATGATGGCCACGCGTTAGTTCTATCTGGCGATCTGAAATATATATATTGATCCATATACTTGTAAGCTTGCATGTCGGACCGACATAATATGTTTAAACCTATCTATGTAGGTGTATGCGATTCTTGGCCTGCGTGCTGTGAGATTTGCTTCAGTTAACACTATTGTATGACCAACTGATTATCTAGAGGAAAATAAATCACTTGCATGTGATTGCAATTCGCATTTCTCTCGGTTTATTCATTCGATACCAATTAATATATTATTTTTCTATTACATGTGAAGAACTTTGTCCCTGAATTAAAACTGAAATGTTGGTGTTATAGCGCTATCGCGTATTCTATAATTACAGACGTGACTAAACACCTAACAAGAGTATAAATGTGAGTACTTACTCAATATCAATACTGGTTGGTCCGACAGTTTTTGTGATATCATCATCGTATTTGCATGTCATTCTGTATGCACGTGCTTCCTTCGTTACCAGCATCATGTGTGGCTGGATAACCACCGTGGTAGAATACAGACCGTTTTCCTGCAATTGTGTCAGTGTCATATTAGCATACGTGATGAAAGTTACACTACCGTCCAAGATCCCTATATATATATATATATATATATATACTCACCTGTGCATAATTCATCGTTATATTTAAGCGATGTTTTCCTTTAAATATAAGACTGTGTCACAGAGAAAAATACATTACATTATTGTAAACATATTTCGTTTTAATCAACGAAATTTACAAACAAAATAGTTGTACCGGTTGCCTTATTTCGTTCATCCTACATTCCATGAAGAATCATTTCTACTCACCTGGTCAATGGCAAATTCACATTCCGAGTACTTGGCAAAGAACGTTGCTCTTTCATTGGCGGAATTGTCGAACATTTGCATCCGACAGGCTTCAGTCTTGAAGTTATTCTTCACGTAAATAACGCCTGTGAACGTATCCTTGCCCCCAGCCGCCTTGCGCAAGTCCACGTTGAAGGCGATACCATCCGCCTTGCAGATTACTACAAATGCATAATTCATAAATAAGAAGGATTCCTATAAAATAAGAAACAATCACGTGCACGTTCTTTAAATATATACCTATAATTCCTATATTTTTTTGTTACATGAGTATTTTATACAGATTATACGTTATATTATATTATATAGTCATACTTCTTGCTAAGCGCGAGCAGATGTTCGTTCACTTATGATCAATAGAATCCAGGTGCAAATCATATCAAAAATTATTACTACATTGAAATACAAATGTATTAACATTACTTTATGTAATAGCAGAGTAGAATCTCTATTACATTAAATGGATTAGGATATGCTACCAGATATTAGCAAGAATCATATGTGACACCATCTATAAAGAAACGCCAATAAGCAGCCTAGTTCTCCATGATATAAGCTGATGTAACATTAAAATGCAATTGAAACTGTTAAAAAGGGACTACACACCTTCGACTGGTCCATCTGAAATAAAAAAAAACACAAGTTCATTAGATTCTTACAAAATTGCATATAGGTAGACTGACAGCTAGGAACCAAATTATTTGGAGGATAGGCGTAAATGGTAATGGTGTTATGGGTAATTTAAGTGTTTAATTATTACTAGTGACTAACTAACTCACAACGTTAATGATATATGTAAATGTGCAATTACCTGGTTTTGCTGATGGGGTTGGCGCCGGCGTCGTAACCAGTCCATCTGCATTTTTTTGTGTGCAAAATTTATTTTAGAAAAATAATTCGATGGTAATAAAATTATACAATAATCAAAACACATAATTCACTAAGCAATACTACAATTATTCTTAAACCAAAGCCAACTTTATAGCCGAGCTTATTGCAATGGTACTGTACGCATTGACTGTACACGTTTTGATATAAGAGAATAAATTGATAAAAAAAAATTAAATTAAAAAAAGAAGATGGAAAGACTAAATGAATGAACGTCATGCAAGCATAGGAGATAAAGTGATGAAGTGTGTGACGATGAATTGATGTTTCGTAAAACTGGAGGGCTCTCGAAACTATTTTTGACATATTAGCTTCAATCTCCCAGTATATAGATGTGTATGCGTGTGTTCGTGCGTGCGCGTGTGTCGGCATGGCATGTGGGTGACTGTGAGTGTGTCTTGCTTTGTATTTGTGTAGATAAATTGTGGCCGTAACCTTGTCACAGTAGTACCTGGCGGGCCATTGCTAATTATTCCAGAATTCACTGTTGTTACTCCTCCACCTGTCTTTGCTTCAGTGAAAACTGTTACTCCTGCACCTTCTGGAACTTTTGACGTTACTTCTGTTCCAGTGGGTCCTGTTATTTCTTGTCCTGTTATTATTCCGGTTTCTCCCGTTATTCCTGTTATATCAGCTGTAGTTGGAATAGTCCTAGTAGGGGATGTAACTCCTGCACCTGTTACTACTACCGTTGATCCAGTTACTTGTAAAATGGTTCCAGGCTGACTCGGTATTGTTTGTCCTGTTATTAGAGGATCTGTCCCTGCTCCAGTTGGGCCAGGTAGAGTTTGTCCCGTTACTGCTGGGGCAGTGTGTGTTCTAGTTGGGCCCGTTATTATTGTGCCTTTACCGAATATTCCTACATGCCAAATCATGACCCAAGGCAGAGAAATATGATGAATGAAATAATGAAAATGAAGCTACATCATGAATATTAAAAGATTCTATTCCACTGGAATTTATTAATAAAGAAATGAATTAAAAATGTGAATGAAATATAGAGTTATTCTATCAAAGGAAAGATAAGCATGAATAAACAAGAACAACCTTGGTTAAAATAAATAACATGTGATTTTTATCTGTATGCTGTCCCAGAGACTGACATTAAAAGACTTCATATCGTACCTGTTGGCCCTGTTCCTGTTGCAGTGGGACCTGTTGCAGTGGGACCAGTTCCTGTTGGAGTAGTTTCTTGTCCAGTACCTAGATGGTGGATCACATTTATCGTTCAAATGGAGAAACACTTACTACCCTTTCAATTTGACAACAAGTCACCATATGATCTACCGGTAAAATTTATGTTGGTAATGTTAACGTATTTTAACTAAAGGTGTGAAACTGATTTTTTAATTCATTTAATCATTAAAACAAATAATAGTTTGTGTCACGTTGGAAATGACCAGACGGAACAGACAAGTACTTTATAATATAGTACATGTCGCACGATAAAAAATTTATATTAGTACTCTACAGTATTGCATCCCATTGACTGTACCTGTTGGGCCAACTTCTGTTGGGCCTCCTGTGACGGTTCCTAATACGATTTATGATGAAATAAAAAAATAATAACGTATAGTTGATGACAAAACAAAAGGAATGATTAGTTAAAATTATTAGTTCTAAGAGGTTATAACATGTAATAAATATCGCAAATAATTGAAACAAAATATGATTTTAATCGAACAAAAAAAAATTACTAAATAAAAAAACCAAATGCAGAAAAGGAGGACGGATATTGTTGATGCTCTTGCATATATAATGAGGATATTCAAAGACTTAGCTCGGTTCACTGTTGCTAAACCTGGGATTACCTAAGGAACCAGACATAGCAGATGAACTTGTACCTGTCGGACCTGTTCCAGTTGGTCCTGTTACTGTAGGTCCTGTTCCAGTTGGTCCTGTTCTAGTTGGTCCTGTTCCAGTTGGACCTGTTACTGTAGGTCCTGTTCCAGTTGGTCCTGTTCTAGTTGGTCCTGTTCCAGTTGGACCTGTTACTGTAGGTCCTGTTCCAGTTGGTCCTGTTCTAGTTGGTCCTGTTCCAGTTGGACCTGTTACTGTAGGTCCTGTTCCAGTTGGTCCTGTTCTAGTTGGTCCTGTTCCAGT